TGTGTGATTCTGCAGCCTTGTATTGATTTTTTAATGTGTTATTCTGCTGCCTTGTATTGGTCTTTTTAATGTGTTATTCTGCTGCCTTGTATTGGTCTATTTAATGTGTTATTCTGCTGTCTTGTATTTGTCTTTTTAATGTGTTATTCTACTGCCTTGTATTGGTCTATTTAATGTGTTATTCTACTGCCTTATATTTGTCTTTTTGATGTGTTATTCTGCTACCTTGTATTGGTCTATCTAATGTGTTATTCTGCTGCCTTGTATTGGTCTATTTAATATGTAATTCTGCTGCCTTGTATTTGTCTTTTTGATGTGTTATTCTGCTGCCTTGTTTTTTCTTTCAATATGTTATTCTGCCTCCTTGTATTTGTCTTTTTGATGTGTTATTCTGCTGCCTTGTATTGGTCTATTTAATGTGTTATTCTGCTGCCTTGTATTGGTCTATTTAATGTGTTATTCTGCAGCCTTGTATTGATTTTTTAATGTGTTATTCTGCTGCCTTGTATTGGTCTTTTTAATGTGTTATTCTGCTGCCTTGTATTGGTCTATTTAATGTGTTATTCTGCTGCCTTGTATTGGTCTCTTTAATGTGTTATTCTGCTGCCTTGTATTGGTCTATTTAATGTGTTATTCTGCTGCCTTGTATTGGTCTATTTAATGTGTTATTCTGCTGCCTTGTATTGGTCTATTTAATGTGTTATTCTGCTGCCTTGTATTGGTCTTTTTAATGTGTTATTCTGCTGCCTTGTATTGGTATATTTAATGTGTTATTCTGCTGCCTTGTATTTTTCTTTTTGATGTGTTATTCTGCTGACTTGTATTGGTCTATTTAATGTGTTATTCCGCAGCCTTGTATTCATTTTTTAATGTGTTATTCTGCTGCCTTGTATTTGTCTTTTTAATATGTTTTTCTGCTGCCTTGTATTGGTCTTTTTAATGTATTATTCTGCTGCCTTGTATTGGTCTATTTAATGTGTTATTCTGCTGCCTTGTATTGGTCTATTTAATGTGTTATTCTGCTGCCTTATATTTTTCTTTTTGATGTGTTACTCTGCTGCCTTGTATTGGTCTTTTTAATGTGTTATTCTGTTGCCTTGTTTTGTTCTTTTTAATGTGTTATTCTGCTCCCTTGTTTATTTCTTTTAATGTGTTATTCTGCTGCCTTGATTTAGTTTTTTTGTGTGTGTTTTTCTGCTGCCTTGTCGTTGTCTTTTTAATGTGTTATTATGTTGCCTTGTATTGATCTTTTTAATGTGTTATTCTGCTGCCTTGAATTAGTTTTTTTTGTGTGTTATTCTGCTGCCTTGTATTGGTCTTTTTAATGTGTTACTCGGCTGCCTTGTAATGGTCTATTTAATGTGTTATTCTGCTGCCTTGTATTGGTCCTTTTAATGTGTTATTCTGCTGCCTTGTCGTTGTCTTTTTAATGTGTTATTATGCTGCCTTGTATTGGTCTCTTTAATGTGTTATTCTGCTGCCTTGTATTGTTTTTTTAAATGTGTTATTCTGTTACCTTGTTTATTTCTTTTAATGTGTTATTCTGCTGCCTTGAATTAGTCTTTTTTGTGTGTTATTCTGCTGCCTTGTCGTTGTCATTTTAATGTGTTACTCTGCTGCCTTGTATTGGTCTCTTTAATGTGTTATTCTGCTGCCTTGTCTTTGTGTTTTTAATGTGTTATTCTGCTGCCTTGTATTTGTCTTTTTGGTGTGTTATTCTGCTGCCTTGTATTGGTCTTTTTGATGTGTTATTCTGCTGCATTGTATTTGTCTTTTTGGAGTGTTATTGTGCTGCTATGTATTGGTCTTTTGAATGTGTTATTCTACTGGCTTGTATTGTTCTTTTTAATGTGTTATTCTGCTGCCTTGTTATTTTCTTTTAATGTGTAATTCTGCTGCCTTGTATTGGTCTTTTTTGTGTGTTATTCTGCTGCCTTGTCGTTATTTTTTTTGATGTGTTGTTCTGCTGCCTTGTCGTTATCTTTTTGATGTGTTATTCTGCTGCCTTGTATTTGTCTTTTTGGTGTGTTATTCCGATGCCTTGTTTTTTCTTTTAAAGTGTTATTCCCCTGCCTTGTCTTTGTCTTTTTAATGTGTTATTCTGCTGCCTTCTTTTTTTCTTTTAATGTTCTATTTTGCAGTCTTGTATTGGTCTTTTTAATGTGTTATTCTGCTGCCTTGTATTTGTCTTTTTAATGTCTTATTCTGCTGCCTTCTTTTTTTTCTTTTTATGTTCTTTTCTGCTGCCTTGTATGGGTCTTTTTAATGTGTTATTCTGCTGCCTTGTGTTTGTTTTTTTATGTCTTATTCTGCTGCCTTGTTTTTTTCTTTCTATGTTCTATTCTACTGCCTTGTAATGGTCTATTTAATGTGTTATTCTGCTGCCTTGTTTTTTCTTTTAATGTGTTATTCTACTGCCTTGTATATGCTCTTTAATGTGTTATTCTGCTGCCTTGTCTTTGTCTTTATAAAGTGTTATTCTCCTGCCTTGTCTTTGTCTTTTTAATGTGTTATTCTGCTGCCTTCTTTTTTTCTTTTAATGTTCTATTCTGCAGTCTTGTATTGGTCTTTTTAATGTGTTATTCTGCTGCCTTGTATTTGTCTTTTTGGTGTGTTATTCTGCTGCCTTGTATTGGTCTCTTTAATGTGTTATTCTACTGCCTTGTATATGTCTCTTTAATGTGTTATTCTACTGCCTTATATATGTCTCTTTAATGTGTTATTCTGCTGCCTTGTGTTTGTCTTTTTAATGTCTTATTCTGCAGCCTTCTTTTTTTTTTATGTTCTATTCTGCTGCCTTGTATGGGTCTTTTTAATGTGTTATTCTGCTGCCTTGTATTGGTCTATTTAATGTGTTATTCTGCAGCCTTGTATTGATTTTTTAATGTGTTATTCTGCTGCCTTGTATTTGTCTTTTTAATATGTTATTCTGCTGCCTTGTATTGGTCTTTTTAATGTATTATTCTGCTGCCTTGTATTGGTCTTTTTAATGTATTATTCTGCTGCCTTGTATTGGTCTATTTAATGTGTTATTCTGCTGCCTTGTGTTTGTCTTTTTAATGTCTTATACTGCAGCGTTCTTTTTTCTTTTTATGTTCTATTCTGCTGCCTTGTATGGGTCTTTTTAATGTGTTATTCTGCTGCCTTGTATTTGTCTTTTTGGTGTCTTATTCTGCTGCCTTGTATTTGTCCTTTTTAATTCGTTATTCTGCTGCCTTGCATTGGTCTTTTTAATGTGTTATTCTCCTGCCTTGTGTTTTGTCTTTTTGATGTGTTATTCTGCTGCCTTGTATTTGTCTTTTTGATGTGTTATTCTGCTGCCTTGTATTTGTCTTTTTAATGTAATATTCTGCTGCCTTGTATTTGTCTTTTTGATGTATTCTCCTGCCTTGTCTTTGTCTTTTTAATGTGTTATTCTCCTGCCTTGTATTTGTCTTTTTGATGTGTTATTCTGCTGCCATATATTTGTCTTTTTGATGTGTTATTCTGCTGCCTTGTATTTGTCTTTTTGATGTGTTAATCTGCTGCCTTGTATTTGTCTTTTTGATGTGTTATTCTGCTGACTTGTATTTTTCTTTTTGATGTGTTATTCTGCTGCCTTGTATTTGTCTTTTTGATGTGTTATTCTGCTGCCTTGTATTTGTCTTTTTGATGTATTCTCCTGCCTTGTCTTTGTCTTTCTAATGTGTTATTATGCTGCCTTTATTGGGTCTTTTTGGTGTGTTATTCTGCTGCTTTGTATTTGTCCTTTTAATGTGTTATTCTATGAATTTCATTTTCCCTTTAACAAAGTTAGTGTGCTATCTATTATTAGAGAGGCAGAAGATACCAAATAAGATAATGAAACTCACAAGTCAAAACCAAACTGACAATCCCATGGCAAAAAATGCTTCTATTGCTGAAAAAACAGATGCTCCAATAACAATGTTAAGCAGATAGAACCCAGACAGTGCTAGTAGTCGCACTGTACTTTTTCTGAAGGATAATGACATGGTGTCAACAAGACTAAACAAGTCTACAAACACATTCAATATAGTTGAAAAATTGTAAAATTTTAGACAGTATTAATAAATATTCAAACGAGAGAATTGTATACAAGGATATACCTTCAAATTGGAAATGTGAGAAGGGATCGTGATTGGGATAAATTTCAAAGTGGTTTGAGGTTTACTACAACAATGCGCTAATTAATTATTAGGTCCATGGAGGGGATGGCTCATATAGATTTTGCCTATCACTCATTCTATTTCAGCTTATGTAATAAAATTAAGTTTTAACTTAATAACTAAACGAACCATTAGGTCCATTCATTTTAGAAATGGGAGAATGACAATAATAGAGGACATTTTTTGTTATTTAAGTGAAATGTTTTGTCGATACTTATATCTTGGCATTGCACAAAGTCATGCTTTTCTTAAACTACTTATGTCTTTATACTAAATCCTCTGTTGGTGCACTGATTGATTAAAGTCTTGGAGAACATGGTTTATATATGAGTGGAAATTAGGTTTTGAAAAGGCTTTCAGCATCTGCAAGAACTCTTAGATTAGTAATTTTGTCCTTATTTGTTTTTGTGCATAAGAGTCTAGCCCTTTCCAATGAATTTTTACAGTTTGATCTAATGTTGTTTTGTTATACCACTGTTTCGTGTTAGGTTTGAAAGCTCACAAACATGATTAACCTTGCCACATTTTTTATGTGCCTGTCCAAAGCCAGGGGCCTGGTATTTAGTACATGTTGTTGGTTGGTGTTTACCATTATTGTTTTATTATTATGCAAGCTGTTGGTTTTCACTGAATTGTTTCACATTTTGTCATCCTTCTGCCTTTTAATACTTACTATATGGAATGACTTTTGCTCATTGTTGAAGCTAGTAAGGTGACCTATAATTTTTCACATCTGTGTTGTTTGTTCTTTAATGGTTAGTTGTCTCATTGGCAATAATATCACAAGTCCTTATTTCTTTATGTAATACATTTTCCTTAATGAAGAAAATTACAGATGTTTTTAAATTTTATTTGATCATAAGTGCATTGATTTTATTTTTAAATAGTGTATTTTCACTTCAGTGTCAAACAACTCTGTATATGTGATTACTTTCAGCTACTTTTACTGATAAATAGCATATTACATTGTAATAAAAATTCAATATTTATATAAATAAATATCCTTCCAGAAAAAGAGACCTCAATAAAAAGTATAAAATAAATCATAGATCTAACAAAAAACTTTTGTAAAAATACTAATTTCATTTATTGACAAAAAGTTTTTAAACATACATAACTAATAAGCTATCAATAATCAGTATATCAAACAGGTCTTTTAACATATTGGAAAGAAAACCTGTGATATTCATATTTCACTTATTGCCAGCATTACAGCTGTGTTTCCCTGAACATGACAATCATGTCACTTCATATCAATTAATGTGACTTAATGGTATCTATGATGAGTTTATTTATTATATATTAAGTACACCTTGAAGTGCTTGCTGATTTAAAGTGCATTGCAACCAACCTATACATCATTTTGATTTATTAATTTATGAGTAAAATTCTGCTAGATTAAAAAAAGCAAAAGTGTTTATTCAAAAGATCCAGAAGATAAGATATAATTTTCTTACTATCCTTGAACATAGTTTATAAAGAATTCAAACACTAAATACTAAAGCACTTTTTTTTTTACTAAAGTGATGCAAAATTAAGTCAGTAAGCTGTGTCTGGCTGTCTACATGTAATTTTGATTCTAATATGGCTTTGTTATCATTTAATACTATCAGTAATTTATATATTAACAATTACAAAGAATCACACAAGTCTTCAGTTAATACAACTTTTCCCCAACTAGAGTTGACATACAGAAATGCCTTACCAGCTACATAGACGAGATTAAATATATTCAAGTCTGTCAGGTCTATAAATATCCACATCTAATTAGTAAATTTGTAAGGGTTCTGCGGAACCCAGTGTCTCGGCTACTTTTGCTGTTAGTCGCAGGCTTAACAAAAATGGGGAAAAAATCATTAAAAATTTTCCTCTAGATACTATCTTTTCAATTTAAGAAGCATCTGTCCAAGTTTGGTAAAAATCCAGGATGGTTTGTGAATCTAATAAATGTTTTAAAAACTTTAACTGCAGACTGTATGTAATGTTAACTGGAAGAAAAATTAAGTCCATTTATAAGTAATATACGGAAAAACAGGAAATAAGTTTTTACAAAATTTCCTTCTAGATACTAGCTTTTGATCATAAACAAGCTTCTGTCCAAGTTTGGTAGAAATCCAGGATTTAAGAAAGTTATTATAATTTTTAAAACTTTAACCACAGAGTGAATGTAATGTTAACTGGCAGACAAAAAACTAAGTCCATTTATAAGTAAAATACGGATAAACAGGATTTTTTTTTTTACAAAATTTACTTCTGGATACTATCTTATGATCATAAACAAGCTTCTGTCCAAGTTTGGTAGAAATCCAGGATATTTTAAGAAAGTTATTAAAATTTCAAAGTGAATATATGTGGACGCCGCCACCGGAATGTAGGATCGTTATGTCTCGCTTTTGCGACAAAAGTCGCAGGCTCAACAAAAAGGACCTTGAACTCATACTGTAAAGAATAGTAATTGAAAAAATTACCTAATTTCAATATAAAATGTAGATCCCTGAACCAAGAAAATGAGGTTAAGGTCAAGTGATCTGACAGACAGGCATATTTACCTTACAACAAACTTTGAAAAAAATATAGCCTATTTTTAACTACAGTAATAGAGAAACTACCATAATCACCAACACATATAATGTCAATCCATTTACATTCACATCTTACAATAAAAGAAATGTGGAGTATTCATCACTGAAACAGATATCCATTAACAGCATGAAACTTAAACAAACATCTAGAGGTCAACATGTAGTTTTTAATTATAGACAAGTGTTTACACAATATCACACTTCTAGTCTAAATACGTTGAAGAAAGATTATCAAAGATATGCTACATGTACCAGATTCAAATTCCCTATTGGACAAAACAATTCTGTACATCACATATAATTGCACTAAATATAATAATAGACCCCAACAAAACGGGTATGTCCACCTTTGAGTCTTTTTTTTAACCATAGTTACTGATCAAAATTCAGTCATGTGTCATACTTATAAATGACTTAAATAAAAGATCTATAGAGTAGAACATTGGGTCTTGGTAGGGTATATTATAAATAAATTACAGACAGAACTTCAGCACATATAGCATCCATAATCTATATACAATATAGATTGTCTAGTTCGTTTCCCTTATCAAATATCAAGCTATCATAAAATGTGTTAATACTCACTGCAGCTACGGTCAGTAAGAATATAAATGGCCCCAATTTTAAAACATCTATTGTAAATGAGACAAAAATTGATAATACTTTTTAGACTAGAAAGTATGTAAATACCATATATTATGTTCTTTTACCAACATTTGTGTTTACTTATATTTCTATTGACAAATTGACAAATCTGTGCATAACAGCTTCTAAGAGGAAGAATACAACTGTAAAACAGTTAAAATGACATGCACAGAATGTGTCTACTTGTATGACAAAAGTAATTACAAAATCATTAATCAAAGCAGATGCAAACCCTCTATGTAAAGCAGCAAGGTATTTATTAAAGTTTGTATAATTAACTGCCAGTAGTAGCAGTTTACACAAATAATCTACTGGGAGTTGTAAAACTGTTGATGAAATGTAGATTTTTACTGTTAAGAGACTTAATCATTGTTTTAAGACACACAAATTTTAAATATCAATATATTGACATTTCAAAAACTTCTCACGTAAAAACATAACACATTTTCATTTATCTGCTTAATTTCTAAAGACACAGAGCAATAGCCCTGAAAATCTGACGTCTGATAAACTAATCGGCATTTAGTTAGGAGTGACCCCTGTATTACAGGATATCCCAAAGTGTATTTAGTTAGGAGTGACCCCTGTATTACAGAATATCCCAAAGTGTATTTAGTTAGTAGTGACCCCTGTATTACAGGATATCCCAAAGTGTATTTAGTTAGGAGTGACCCCTGTATTACAGAATATCCCAAAGTGTATTTAGTTACGAGTGACCCCTGTATTACAGGATATCCCAAAGTGTATTTAGTTAGGAGTGACCACTGTATTACAGGATATCCCAAAGTGTATTTAGTTGGGAGTGACCCCTGTATTACAGGTTATCCCAAAGTGTATTTAGTTAAGAGTGACCCCTGTATTACAGGATATCCCAAAGTGTAAGTTTTATTATTACAGGTATTTTAGTAACTATCTGATTTAATTCATAATGAACTGACATGCTGGGGACACCATAATATATGATCAGGCTCAGCTTGTATAATAAAGCATGTCTTGATTTAGAATTTTTATTTTAGTCATCAAAGTTCAAATTTTGGTAATTGACTGACAAATATGTCTGTTTCTGTACCACCAAGATGCAACTGCTGATCATGAATACATGCAGTATATAACATCCTTCAACTTGAAACATTGATTTACATCTAAGAATATTTTCAGGCACTTTTTTTTCATCTCTGCATCTCTTGGACAAAAATATTGTAAAAAACAGGTTTCAAGCAGATGCCCCAATACCCTAATGTTGTGTTTACTTGTAATTCATGTTTATGATGCAAATGTAGTGCAGTTTGAAATAATTTAGAGTATGCATTCAGAAAAAGTATGAACGAAATACATATAAAAATATTGTTGCATATCACTTTAAATATACAACATTGCACTTTGCCTTTGAATGTTTTAAGGAAAATTATGAGTCCGATATCAATTTATGTCGAGAAGAAGGTAGTCATGAAATGGAAATTTAGTTGTTTGCCAACAATATGCATCAAATATTTACTAATATTTAATAAAAATCTCGTTGAAATGTATATAGGAAAATCTCTTTTCCATCCAAATACTAATATCATATAATTTTACAGATATAATCTATTATATGAATGATGTTACTTATAATTAAGTCAATTTGAGGAATTTTGTGTTTTTTTTAAAGGAGTAAGTTCGGTAAGGGTCATATTTGGCCTGGATTATTAATTTTAATGTTTCAAGATAATAAATGTTTTAAAGTGATAAAAAGACATGTGCGAAAGTTGAATAGAACTTTTTTTGTCAAAGTTTAAGTTTAAGGCGTTAATTTTTACATCCCAAAGGTCAAAAATAGAGATTTTTGCGAAATTTGACCAAATCGTCCAGATTTCAACCAAATTAAGGCCTAGGAAACATAGAGCGCAGGAGTCGACAAACTAAATATTCAAGTCAGATATGTAAAATGTGATAACAAACATTTTGTTAAAAAGGCTTTTTTGTCGACGCATGCGCTCTATGTTTCCTGTCCAAAATATCATTGGAAATTTACCCGTTTTCATTGAATTTTGGTTAAAATCAAAATGAGTGCTATTTGTGACATCATGAATAGAAGGCAAGTACGTAAATTTTCCACAAAAAGACATATTTTCTATCTAGTCATTGTATTAGCTATGATTCATTGTGATATTGGTCAATAAATCCTAATTTGAAATTGTAGCTAGAAATAGGGGCCGTTTTAGGGTGTTATCAAACCTACTCCTTTAAGTTTCTGAATGCTGAAATTCTTATTCGCATCAAAACTTTGTAATTTCACTTTTATAATACATTTCCTTATTTCTGAAAAATGACCCCCTAAATCTTAAAGAGTATTGTTGAATAATGCTTTGTTTTTTAAACATTTTTTAAACACTCAAGTGTCTATTTCAGTCGATTCAATCAGTTTATGTAAAAGATTTGAACTGATTTGGTCATTAAAGACGCTCAAATGAAAACTTATAAATATGAAAAATCTATCAAATATGCCACAAAACGTCACTTTTCAGATGGTTTTTGTCTAAATTGTTAGTGGCCGCATTCGTGTTCAGTCTCAACCTTTAAATATGCTATGTATTATCATCAAACACAACATATTTAAATATTAAGACTGAACACAAGTGCAGCCAAAAACCGTCTAAAAATTTGCACAATTGCTTACATTGTGAAGACTTCAGTAATTTTTCATGAATCAGTTATGCTAGTACCTGATGCCTGTGCATTGTATTGTCAAAAATAGCACATATTGATGTAATAAAGTATTCTACTTTCCAATCAATAGCTAGAATTTTACGTTTAAACAAATTTGTAAAAATGCTATATTTTGGAGCCAAAAAGGGGTCTTACAGGGCCCACTCCATGTATAAGTTTCTATAATGAGATATAAATATAAATCAAATTGGGATTGGGGGAAACATGTGTAACAACATATCTGCAATCCTACCCCTCCTAAACATTCAAGTCTCATTGAAAAGATTTCGTCCAAACTTACACCCCATCTAATTGTAGTGCATCCAGATTTTCTGCAAATTTTAAGTTTCAGTAAGCAACTTTTTAATTATTCCTCTTTTAAACAAAATTTCATATTTTAAATGACTATTCTCTGAAACAGAATAACCAGGGACCAAAATCAAAACCCTGAAGTATTGTCATAAATAATACATTCATTACTATTTACTGCAGTCATGTCAACATTGAAGTATAAATATAAAAAGATTTTGTATCACAATTTTAGCATTAGTTATAAGATACATCTTTGGAAAAAAAGTCCTGAAATAACAAAGCTTTCAATAAATCAGGTGGGTCTGAGTTGGACTGTTCCATCAAATCATAGGTGGTTAAACAGTAACTTCTAATAGCCTGCATCAGAGTACAAACCGTCCATCCTCTTGACAAAATGGAATCAACTGTTTCTTGTAACTGTAAAGGGAGTTCAAAAATGGTTACTACATACAAAGTCAGAGGCTGAGTGAACATATGTTCAATCATTAATTTAAATTCTAATGTTATCCTCTAAACCATTTTCTATAAGATTCATAAAAAACTATTAACAGAAACATTAATGCACTGCTGACCTACAGGTGAGTTGATAGGCACAATCAAGAATTTTCAACATAAGGATTGTTGTTTCATGCTTCCTTGATAACAACAACAATGTGTGTAGTTCAAACATTACAACATAACTTCTGCATTTACATTAATTCTACTCCATCACTAAACCAGGATTTCGATAAACAAATAAAGTCACAAAAATGTATTTGATCTGGTTTTTAAATTTTACCATTTCTAATTGCAAACATTCAAGGCTACTACCAAGTGCTAGGAATTTTGTCACAGCACATGATAATGAAGAAGTCGTACTTGGGTAGGATTTCTTTTAACCAACAGTACTTTCTTTTAAGTGTGAAACAGTTTATATAATTCATATCAATTAATATATAAATATCATCCTATTTAAAATTCTAATATATTATTTTTAAGATTTAACATCATCTTTCATATAGGCACACACAGAATGGCTAGAAAATAAATGTTTGTGCATCTGTCTGGATTTATTCTCAAGTTTTCATTGGCCTTGGTTCAATCCTTCCTACTTTGAAACTTCCATTATCTTCTTCGTATTATTTAATAAAATCATGAAAGCCCTGACCATCTTGACAATTCAAGATTTTACAATTACAAAAAACAGTTATATTTTACACAAAGCTATATGCTGAACCTCAAAATATAAAATATATCCCAACATACCTTGATGAGTTTGTCGTGATGAAAAGTATAATACATGACATATGGTACCCCAGCATAAGATGCAGCCATCCACTGAAGCATAGCTTTCAACTGAGGGTTACCACCAAATGCTCCACAACCCCAATTACCTGTAGCAATAGGTCTACCAATATTTCTCTACAAAACGAAGTTAAGACTTATTCCTTCTGCTTTTTCTATTTTCTATTTGTTTCATCATTCTACATCCTTATTTGCTGCGTAAACTTATTGTTTTTATGTTATTACTGTGACTTTGTAGTTTCACTTTACCAATGACCTAAAGGGGCCTCGGTGGCCGAGTGGTCTAAGTAGTTACTACTGTAATCACTAGCCAGTCAACACTTAGGTTGTGAGTTCGAACCCTGCTCATGCGGGTGCACTCGACTCCAATCTTAATTGACTAGGATTATCAGTTTTCCTTTCAGAGGTCGGTGGTTTTCTCCAGGCACTCCGGCTTCCTCCACCAATAAAAACTGGCCGCCACGAAATAGCCCAAAAGCGGTGCTTAAAAGTGGCGTTAAACCACCAAAAATCAAAATCAAATCAATGAACAAAAATATTTTTCCAGGTTGCAGTTTGAATTGCTCTCTTCAAATTGATCCGCTTATAAAATATTTAAACCATTACTAGATTACTAATGAATGGTTGTTAGTATTAATCAAGTGCAATATAATAAACCTATAATAAAACAATAATGTGTCCATAGTACACGGATGCCCCACTCGCACTATCATTTTCTATGTTCAGAGGACCGAGAAATTGGGGTCAAAACTCTTAATTTGGCATTAAAATTAGAAAGATCATATCATAGGGAACATGTCTACTAAGTTTCAAGTTGATTGGACTTCAACTTCATCAAAAACTACCTTGACCAAAAACTTTAACCTGAAGCGGGACAGACGGACGAACGGACGGAAGAACAAACCAACAGACGCACAGACCAATGACCCTCTACTATCATAGGTGGGGCATAAAAATATTCTTCCCATTCAATTGTTTAGCCTTGAGAAAATTAGAACAATAAGCATTCAAACCTTCTCCAAGGAAGTCAATAACTGGAATTGGATGTTTTATTTTATATGTCACTTTCTTAATACTAACAACCTTTCACTAGCAATAGTACCTATACTTGCCATGATCCTCTTGTCACTACTTCATGTTTCTCAACTAACAAATGTAGATTTCAACATGAAAAATTAAATGGAAAAAAAAATCCCAAAACTACTCTAAATCTGAATCAATCTGATATATATCAAAAAGTTAATTTCAACAGTAACAGATGAGATTTTTTTAATAATTTCTATACAATTTATGCAGAACTGACCATCAAGTATGTAGTAAAGTTATTACATAAAGGCCATTGTCATTGCTTTTTAATATTTTGGCCCCATTTAGCAAGTTTGGTGTTAATGACTGATATGTATATTGATGTGTATGTTTTTTATAACTTAAGACTGTACCTTGACCTTTAAATGTCTTTTTTAGTTTTATTGTTGATAAGTTCCTGCTTCACTGAACATTAACCAATGTCACATATTATAGACTTACCCTTTTGGTGCTTTCTTTTTCTCGTCTAAACACATTAATAGATCTCTGTAGTACATTTAGTGCCAAAACATCAGCAAATTCTTCTAGTCTTCTATATGGAACATCTAATGCATCTGCATATTCATCTGATTGGCTATGGGAGTCATCTTCACCTTTCACCTCACTTTCCTTCTCATGGATTGGGTTTCTTTGAATCCAATCATTACTATCTTTTAAATCGGAAAAAACTTGGCACAGTATCTCAGCAGCAATTTTTTCTGCGTAGTTATCAACGTCATAATTTTTATAAGAAGTTGAAGTTTGACAAGTTGGCACTGCTCCACCAAACATGACCTGAAAACTATCTGCAATTATATTATGAGAAAGTTGTTCAGCAAAGTTAGATAACTCCTCCAAGGGTGGACTTGGTGTGGATGAACATAAGGAATACAATGAAGTTTCACTGCCTACTGATTGACCTTGATGGCTGTATAATGAACTTTTACTACCTCTATTTTCAGTAAGCCTCTCTGATGATTTGCTTTTAGAATGTTTAGAAGATTTTGCTGATCGCCTTCTTTTAAGACTTCCCCTTGATTTTGGTCTACCAGCTAAGAGTAGCTGTTCTTCAAATTTGGCTAAAGTCTCATCTTTAAAACCACTTATACTGCTACGCCATGAATGACTAGATGAACCACTTGTACTCCTGTTTGAAGAATCAAATAGGTATAGTTCTGGAATTTTACATTCTGTCTTCATTAGCTCCTCCGCAAATCTGCAACAGATAAGTTAATTTAACAAGTGTTATAACTGTCAAACTAAATTTTACTTTCATCAAAGATTAAATGGTGGTATTTCTGCAGCAAAATACTTTATTTGTTTATAGAACATATCAATCTATTTGTTTATTTCCGGTAAATAGAATAGCAGGAAGCTTAAGTAACCTTTCAAAACAGAGCATTATTTCGTCATTTTGAATCAAAAATAAATGAGGCCTGCATTTACACAAAAGTCCTATTACCGGTACCCACTGCAAATTGTAAATCCTAAAACTATATACAAACTATACAGATTACTGTTGGGCCTATAAAGAAACAAGTCCAGATCCATGGCTAGTAGACTATTATCAATTTTTCTCATAAATAAAGATCATATGTGTAAATCAAATTATAAATAAGATATAAACAAGAGTGCACACGCTGAAATGTCTCGCCTTCTTTACTAATCATTGATATTATGTTGATAGTCCTAAATATAAAGCTTTATTACAACTGTCACATAAACTTAACATTAACCAAGTAAACTAAACATTGACCAATGAACCATGAAAATGAGGTCAAGGTCAGATGAACCATGCTAGGCAGGCATGTACAGCTAACAATTCTTCCATACAACAAATATAGTTGACCTATTGCTTATAGTTTAAGAAAAACAGACGAAAACACAAAAACTTAACACTGAGCAATGAACCTTGAAAATGAGGTCAAGGTCAAATAAAACCTGCGTGACTGACATATAGATCATAAAATATTTCCATACACCAAATATAGTTGAACTATTGCATATAGTATTAGAAAAAAAGACCAAAACTCAAAAACTTAACTTTGACCACTGAACCATGAAAATGAGGTCAAGGTAAGATGACACCTGCCAGCTAGACATGTACACCTTACAATCATTCCATACACCAAATATAGCTGACCTATTGCATGCAGTATTAGAAAGAAAGACCAAAACTCAAAAACTTAACTTTGACCACTGAACCATGAAAATGAGGTCAAGGTCAGATGACACCTGCCAGCTAGACATGTACACCTTACAATCATTCCATACACCAAATATAGTAGACCTATTGCATACAGTATAAGAAAAACAGACCAAAACACAAAAACTTAACTATAACCACTGAACCATGAAAATGAGGTCAAGGTCAGATGACACCTGCCAGTTGGACATGTACACCTTACAGTCCTTCCATACACCGAATATACTAGACCTATTGCTTATAGTATCTGAGATATGGACTTGACCACGAAAACTTAACCTTGTTCACTGATCCATGAAATGAGGTCGAGGTCAAGTGAAAACTGTCTGACGGGCATGAGGACCTTGCAAGGTACGCACATACCAAATATAGTTATCCTATTACTTATAATAAGAGAGAATTTAACATTACAAAAAATCTGAACTTTTTTTTCAAGTAGTCACTGAACCATGAAATTGAGGTCAAGGACATTGGACATGTGACTGACGGAAACTTCGTAACATGAGGCATCCATATACAAAGTATGAAGCATCCAGGTCTTCCATCTTCTAAAATATAAAGCTTTTAAGAAGTTAGCTAACGCCGCCGCCGCCGCCGCCGCCGCCGCCGGATCGCTATCCCTATGTCGAGCTTTCTGCGACAAAAGTCGCAGGCTCGACAAAAACACTTACATGATTCCATATTATAATCTATTACTAATATAAGTATATTCACTCACTTAGATAAAGTTTCATCATGGAAACCACATGACTCTCTTCGATACTTTCTGGTGAAATCAACAGAGTTTCGACCATCTTCACAAATCTCTGCTTTTAAAATGGCAATATCTTCATCAGTTCTACTGATCTTTTTTTTTGGTCCATCACTTCCATTTATTGAGTCTTTTAACTGCCTAGCTGCTTTATTTGACATTTGCAGAGGTTCACTGCTACGCCTAATGTAGCTTCCACCGTTTGTGTTTCTTTGAACTTCTACAAAAGCAGTTGTCAAAAGGTCTCTTGAAAGAGAACTTGCATAAAAGCTTACTTTTCTTTGATTTTTGCCCACATACTGGTCAATTTTCACTTCAATGGGTCTTTGGTTATTACTGATACCTTCAATATTGTACTTCCTCCTGCCTTTATCTATAGTTGGACTTTTGACTCTTTCAATGTTATTTTTTACAAGAATGCTATTGCTAACTTTTTCTGCAGAAACTGTTAATAATGGAATACTACTGAGAGTTGAATCTGAATTGTCATCTGTCAACTCAACTGATTCATCTCCATACAAATGAATACTACTTATTGGTTGCAAAAAATCTGAATCACCAAAGTGTTTAACACTAGGAGATTCTGAATGGTTGGAATAGCTATCAAATGGAGACGAAGAACATTCTGATACTGATCTGTTCAATGTGTCTTCCTCATTTATGTCAAATCTATCATCGTCCTCAGTTAAATATTTCAATACTGCCTCACTCATAACATCATAAACTATGTTTGTTGCCATTTCATGGCAACGTCTATCTGCTTCCTCTCGCTCAAAGTCAGCGGAACATGATTGATGCTTAGCACCAGAAATACTGGAAATATTTTGACTAGTTGATACTGGAATGTTTGATTCTGAAAAAAAATTATGAAATTCTTGTCTTATTTCATCTCTGAAAAAGTCGTCACAAAATATTTTATCCATAAAATCATGGGCAAACTTTCTAGCTGCTACCATGGAAATTAGAGAACCCTCTTCAGGGTTCCCCGAATATTCCTCCTCTGAAAGTTTTCTTGCTTTCGGTTTATTTATCACAGATAAAGGTGCATTGTTATGAAATTCAGTAATGACTGGGGACATTGACTGTAAAACACTAGCAGCAGTAGTTGTACCCTCAAACAATATGGATGACACTAAACTAGCAGCAAACTCTCCTACTAAAGGATGAAAAGTCTCTTCTTTAATTGTGTGTTGCTTCCCTAATAATTGTTCCCGTTTCTGAAAATTCTCGTAATATTCTTCAAATTCTGAACTGAAATCAGAACTGTATCTAGTACTGCAACTACTTCGTCTAGATCCTACGTCACTTAGATTTGAACTTCTACGTCTCAGACGTAAGTACCAATCCTTTAAATCAACATCTAAATGGTCCATGCCATCATCTGGTGGTGGCTTTTCATTGGTCAAAGTTGATGAAGATGATTCATCTAAGTATTTAGTATCTATATGAACTTGTTGTGTTTGGCCTTTCCCCGACATTTCACAACCTGCTTCTAACAAAGCAGATGACATTATTTCTACCAATAAACCATCTGCATAGTTCAACAGAGATGAAGGAACTGCAAAAAAATATTTTATTGTTTTTCAAATACATTTCATTAACATTCAACATTAAAATGATGTACTAAATTTATTTAACCTAAAAATCATAATTTTTTCAAAAAGTGAATTTTTCCCTTTAAATTGCCAATACAGTAATCAATACTCTCTGTCTTTTTGTATCATAACATTTCAAGTTATACAATTAAACGTCAAAGAAAAATTTTATTCCAATGTCAGGATTTTGGGATAGCTTCACCAAATCTTAAGAACTTTTGCTCTATAGCATACCTATTAGGGTTATTCCAGAAACATATGCAGGGTTTACTGAAATCACTATCGTATGTTTATTTTACAGAAATCACAAGAAAACAGCAGAATTCAATGAAAACTTGTCCAAATTAACATAAAGCACCAGTATGGCCTGTCTTGTGTTGAGTATATAACAATAAGGAGATGTCGCATGATTGCTTTGAGATAACTCACAACCAGAGACCAAAGGACCAGGATGGAAATAGGTTGGTGATGTATAACTATTCAAGCTGTCATTCTTTTCGTCTTCAATGGATAAGTGTCCCATTGGTAATTTTACCACAGCTCCTTACTTTTACATAAATTCTGAAGTTCATGTACAGTTCAAACAGGTGACAGAGAATGTTTTTTTTTATACCAGCCAACTCTCTTGAGTTCTTAGAGATTCATTTGTGCATTCAATCAATTTTTCTTTCACTGCTTTTATATAAGTTTCCGATCTTGCCAAACAAATAGATTTATTTACTTGTTTATTTACAAATTAAATATAAAGTATTAATACTTAAAATTTAATAAACCAATAAAATACACCTTTCTCATCAAGTTACAGTGCATTCTAATTATATTAAACTTTTGTTCATATTTTTTATTACCATTGCTTTCATCCTGTTGTTCTAATTCCTCCTCAGCAGCGGTCATGTATTCATCTTCACTTGCGGACTCCTTCCTACTTTCTGATCGTTCATGTGATAACATTCTCTTTGCTAATTGTTCACAGGGATAAACAGTTGTTCCCCTGTCTACTTTAGCTGAAAATCCCACAAAAGCCTTGTTCAGGTCTCTAAGATAATACTGTTCTGAGTATTGACATTTAGCATTATTTCTATATCTAACAGCATCTATTGCACATAGAGTAGTCATAAAATTGCCGTCCTCATCCACCTGACAATAAAATAGAATTTCTTCTTCATATCAATTGAGCCATGTATATATTAAGAGCTATTTCAAACAAGAATCAGGTATTGATAAACAATTCTCATATATTGTCCAAAATAGAAACCCAAATTCATAGTTGTCATGCTTAATAACTTATTTCTGCATGATTGGTAACTTTTGGATAATTTTTCTGCAAAATAATACCACAGATTTATGCTACCAGGTACTTCATGTCCCTTTATTTGCTAGTGTTCAGAATAGTTCATAACATTATCTTTTGTCTAGGACTGTCTCAAGTTACAAATTGAAATAAATATTAAGGTTAACATTACTGCATACATCATATTCAATTCAATATAAAAAGAAGATGTGTTATGATTGCCAATGAGACAACTCTCCACAATAGACCAAATGACACAGAAATTAACAACTATAGGTCACCGTACGGCCTTCAACAATGAGCAAAGCCCATACCGCATATTCAGCTATAAAAGGCCCCAAAATGACAAATGTAAAACAATTCAAACGAGAAAACTAACAGCCTAATTTATGTACAAAATAATGAACTAAAAACACTAATATGAAACACAGCAACAAACGACAACCACTGAATTACAGGTTCCAGACTTGGGACAGGCACATACAGAATGTGGCGGGGTTAAACTAGTTTGAAGGCGCAAACCCTGTTGATTTGCACTATTATTTATCAGGTTTTTAGCAATACCTTAATTAATTATAGGCAGTCAGACTCTTTAACACATACTGAATTCCTATAATCAGAAACATGTACAAATGACAATATGTTACAACAATCTTTTCATGCTAGAATTGTCTCAAAAAATTTAGTAATAAAGTCATTGTAATAACTTAACTACTTTAGTAACAAAATCATTGTAAACACTTATGCATAACTACTATAGTAACACAGTCATTGTAATTACTTTATTTCTATGGTAACAAAGTCATTGTAATTAGTTAACCACTGTAGTAACAAAGTCATGGTAATTATTTAACTACTTTAGTAACAAAGTCATTTCATTATGTCATTGTCATTACTAAACTACTTTATTACCACAGATCAACATTTGCTCTGTTTTTTACTGAACAAAAATGTCTATACTAGAAATTCTAAACAAAATACTATTTGTTATCCCAAAAACAACCTGTCCAGTAAATTGAAAGCTTTTATTTCCAAATTTGAGCAGAATTTTTATTTTTACTTGCAGTTTTCATTCATGTTCACAAAGCAGTCAGTCCTGTTGTTATAATGAGATAAAACACATAATGTGTATACTGACAATTTATTACTTTAATGAAAAGTCTTATTTAGATAAATTAGAACACATTGCATTACTAATAGTCTTTTCACCAACAATGCTGGAGCAAAATCTTGAAGTTCAGGTCTCTCTGTTATAAAACTTTACTCAGTACTCGGAGTACAAAATTTGTGCTCGAAACACCAAATCCAGCATTTTAATTGGTTGAATTCTTAGTCTGAGTACCATAATCGTACTTCAAAGTTTGATGACCACAAGGTCAGGTCTATACTCTTCTTGAAGAAAATTATTGCGCTTTTTCATCATTTATTGTTATGGATTATAGATGCACAATACTAGGAGTATTTGGAGCAAAGCTACTACACTACCCACTTTCCAGAACTTCATGGTTGAGTAAATGTAATTAAAATGCACTTCCCTAGTGGCACTTTTGAATATAATCATATAATAATATAATCATAACTGAAAAGCACTATTTTTCATAGTGTATTGAGATTCTGTAAAACAACGACATCAAATTTAAGTGTATATACTTTTGATTTGTAATGTGTCAAAAAAGTTATGATGACTTTTAAGTCTTTCAAGCTTAAAACTTTAAACTAAGATGTTGTTAATTAACAGATTTTCTCCCGTCACTACTTAAAGTGACTTTCACAACAGTTTATAAAGCAAACTTCTCTAAACAAGTAAATACCATTGTTGACTCTGTAAAATCTCCTTCATATTCTAAACTACTAGCATATCCACTTGTCCTTGAAAACTGTTCATAACCTTGTAAAATAATGGCTTCATTGTCCTCCATAACTTCCATAAATAACATTGAGGTTAACAACTCTGGACAAACAGAAAACCTTATTTCTTCCTGAAATGTTCAAATAACTAAAATTCAAAGATTTTTACAAATTATCAAAAACTCGAAATATCTTACATTTTCTGTCAGAATAAAGTTTGTAGCCTTTACAGTTCTCATCAAAACAAACCTTATGTAGAGCAACAATAAAAGCACTGTTCCTTGCTTTTGTTCCATGAATAAATACATCTACACCCTGTTTTCCAAATTATGAGCCATCTTTTGTTTCCTTGTTTAAGTTCGTGGTAATCCTGTTGGTAGGTTGACTGTACATGTTTTTTTTACTTTTATGACTTATGGTCTAGATAATCAAATGTGGAAAGTTTGTGTACACATTTAACTGGATTAACCCTGACACATTTGTGCCTGTACCAAGTCTGGACCATGTCTTTTTTTTGTTTCTTGGAGTCAGGTGTTGGTGGTTGGAGTGGTATGTTGTACTGTCTACTATTTTTTGTAATTGCTGCTATCCTATATATGTATAACCATATCCTTTCCGTTACATGAAACATTAATGAATTTGAAGGCTTCACTGAAATCACTTATTGAGCAACAGTGTTTGTCTTCAAATTGTGTTATATATTATTATCATTATAATGATTGCCATACTATAAACATGCCACTCTTTTAATGACCAATAGTGTTTAAAATGTAATACAAATTACTACAGTAAAAAAATATTTGTATACCTGTACACGGCCTTTTGATAATACCCCTCCACCAATATATTGGTTTGCAAAGTCAACCTGAGAATAAACAAAATATATTATTGTACAGAAAGAAAACAATAAATATTGTTCTGCTGAATTTACTGTATACCGTATTGAGGCTTGTATAGTCCCCATTTTTTTCCTCCAAAATTAATATTGCCAGACAGGGGTCAGATTATAGAGTAGTACGATAAGCAAAAAATAAGAGAAAAACACAATTTTGCGAAGTTTGTTTACGTTATGCCATGTTTGTTATTGAAGATGTAGAGGGCGCCCTTATAATTTTCAAAACTAATAATTTACCTAATTCATATTAATATGCATGCAATTTTAATTCAAAATCCAATATTAACTGATAAATATCAAAATTAAATGCTTCATTACAAATTACTCTTTTCTTTTAATAGCATTGCATAACATGAACTGGAATCCGCTTGTATTTACTGGAATGAAATGTATTTAAATCAGCCAAGAACCAGCTTATGCATTAAAATGTATCAACTACAAAGTGTAATCAGTTATATGTTCCGTGTTGGGTGTTTTATACCGACGCATGCGTTTTGTTTTAGCTGAAGATATTTCAAACATTAATGTTATGAATATATTTAATAGTATTTAACTAAAGAATGGAATTGTTTTAGTTTCAAAGTCGTATTCTATTAGTAACTATGAAGTACAGATTTTCTACACACTCTGACTGTAATCGATTTACATGTGCTATATAACTTCTGGTAAATATGAAATACGACTTTCCCAATTGTGTTTCGTGATTTTGTCTTATTTTAACACTCTTGGAGTGTTCTAGAATTATTTACAAGTATTTTCAACTTCTACTTTATGATGAAAAACATAAATACCGCAAACAATCACACACGATTTGAAATTACCCGAGTTTCATTCGACACTTTCAAGCAGTTACAAAAAGTTTTTTTTCCTGAATTCTTGTGGTGAAAAGGGGGGTGAGGACAATGTACCAGTGCGGACTTTACGAGGCTGATTACGTTAATAACTTATATTCAATAAATGTTTGTTTTAAATTTGACATGCATTCGAATTGTTTACACCAACTCCAATCTTCCCAGGTTTTTTCCTGAGTCAAAATTCTTTTTTGCCACATCTTTGCCAAAACAAATATCTTTTTGCTGCACCATTTTTTTCTTTGCCTGCTTATTTTCCTTTTCACTAACAAAATAAATTAACTCAAATATGTAGAAGAATTTGTTATTTGTAAGAAAAAGTCACAAGTTTTTAGAATCAACACCAACTTTAAAAGCCTCTTTTTAGATATGTATTGATATACTTCAATTTATCATCAACTGTTGTTTAGGATTTTATATTACATCAGTTTAATTCATCTCTATAATATTTGCTTGATGTAAATTGAGAGCTGAAAAAGTAATAAACCATGTCAAACTGTTCTAACTTTTCCTTACCTCTATTGCACTGCATCCAGCATCTTCTATAACACCATCCTGGTGAACTATAAGGGGACATAACTCTACATCACAGTTCAACCATGTATCCATACAAGGGAGCTCATCCCATGGAATAACCTAAATATGTTTGTCCAAGAAAGTAATAAGTATAATATGCATTCATACAGTAGAACACAGGTATGACAATATAGGTTATTTATGATTACAAAGTTTAACTCATCCCAAAATTTGGTTGAGTCTACAAAATAACTTAAAATAGTTATTGAAGACAAATTTACTTCATTTCCAAAAGGACTGAAATGCATTAAAACTTAATATTAGTATTAAAGGAAAAATAAACGAGAGGCTCAGAGAAAGATTTTTTTATAAAAGTTTGAAACAAAGAATGACAGACAACTATAGAGTCATAGCTATGGCAATAGCTTAATTGGCCCTTTGGTAATGTGAGTTAAAGTCATGTGAAATGAGTTTCTGGTGATTATAATGTTAACAAAATTATTGAACCAATGCTTGCATATTTACTAAAACTAAGTCTTCTGTGAACTTTTTTTTTTATCTCTTACGAATCTGTAACATATAATTTTCATCACAATTTTTTTTTCCTTTCACTTGCGCTGTGTGGTTGCCAATTTCTAACTAGAGATGTCATTGTTAAGATCACTAAATACAGAAAAGCTTTCAGTGGAATAAAGTACAGGAAGACAATAATTGAATAACAGTACATTTTTGAAGATATTAAATAAAGGATTTTCTTTTAAAAGAAAGTCTATGTACACATGTTTTTCAAGTACACAAAACATATTCAACTTTTTTGTTAAATTTGAAGTATCTTTTGACTTTAAAGCCTCTAATTCATAAAGTGACTAGTTTCATGTTTTTTTTTTGGCTAGAAAGAATTCAGTGACTTAAAAATACTTTTCAAGGGGTATAAAACAGATTAGCTCTTTAAAATGCTGATGGTACAAGTTCTGCTCCATGTATGTTATGTTAAACATAGAAATTATTATTTACCTGTCTAACAAATGTAACACTGCCCTGAATTTCAAATCTTCTGTCAGCTACCTTTTCAAAGTAATTCAAAATGCATCTTAATTTTGCTTGCTGAGATGATCTGAAAATAATATTTCAGGTGATTGATCAGGTACATATACATTAACTTGCAAGGCAACTAATATTCAAACTCTTATAATTAGCTCCTAATAAATTGTATATGTAACAGAGTGCATTTACAAGTAACTTACAAGACTTAAAATGCAGTATTTAAACCTTCATTTTTTTATGATTTTTTTAAAGAAAAAAAAATATTTGGAAAACAAATGTTTTACCAAATTTTGTATCTCAATATTGCTTATATTAGTATCATTTAGATATGTTATTCCATTATCTTGTTTGATAAGATCTGTATTCTTCAGATATTCTATTGAACTCATCATTCTGTTGTTTTGTCTTCCCTTCAGAACATTAAAAAACAGAAAAAAAAGAAATAAATAAATGCTTACTATGATCTAACGCAGTAAATTTAAAAAGTTACAAATATTACTTGATAAACATACAATTCTGGAAGAAACTTAAAAAAACTGGTAAAGTTTATATCATTAAGTTTTCTTCTGGGGCCTCTACACTGTCTTGGAAATAAGCATAGAAATCCACAAGCTAGTATACTGGCAATGCACTGTTTATTAAGTATAGTTTCACTCCCTGAAAATAGATATGTAAAATGAGTATTAATGAATTTGATAAATTCTATGGTCATGATTCAAGTTATGTGAATCTTTGGCTTTTTCATGAAAGCTGTATGACAATAAACATAAAATTCAATTCCCTGAGTGATTATCAATCTATCATGATTTTTGAATATCATATTATATGTATATTTTTTTTCGACTAAAAATATTAAAAAAATTATTTACCTATTTGTTGTCTACTATAGAGTACACCACTCAGAGGAACTACATTTGGAAGTTCTAAAGCAAAATCAACTATAGCTGGGAATGTAGAACGGAGAAATGTTCGCTTCTCAACCTGAGATGCTGTCTTTTGTAAAAACTCCACTAAACCATAGTAAATACAACTTTTGAAATGTATTCTAGATGAAGTTTCTGATTCTTCTTTACAAAGATTGACTATCTCCTGATGCTTTGTGGCCCATTCTCGTAAACTACATGTAGGATCCTGAACACAGTTTTTCAAGTTTTCCAATCCATCTCGTATGACATGCCAAGTTGGTAGGTAATAGGGCAAACGTAATGCATCAAAAGCATCATCGTTCATTGTGTTAACTTCTTACAATGTAACCAGGTGAACTCCATTTAAATATTCACGACCTAAAAAAAAAACAATCAAAAGAACATTATTTTAAAAAAGCCTATTTTATAGTACCGGTAAATAACGTGAATTTTCACGTCTAATACCATAACATTAATACTCTATGATGTATCAATTTGTAAAGTTGTTAAATATATTTTTAGAACACGGTTTCCTTCCATTTCATTAAGGTCTGTTATCACCTATAATTAAATATAATGTTTGCAAATGTGTCTTTTTGTTCAGTATTGATTTTGTACTTTTTATAGGAAACCAAGTCCATACTTTTTCCACAATGGCTGATTAATGTACCATTTTAGTAATATTTGTAATTACTTGTTACTATTTATAACTTAATTCAATCATACTCCATTTATTTAAAAAGGCATATACCTCTTAATCAATTAAAAATTTGTGTGGGATGTTGATGAAAGTTCTTATATTGATTTCTTATTGTCTATTAACTGAACATCTGTATAGCAAATGGTTATAGAGATATGAGTAGAGACAGGTCACTTCTAATTCAAAACAATGTAAAAGATTAGGATGACATATATCTTCCTGCAAACTATTACTTTGGTAATCTAGCATGTCTATCTAGGCCACATTACAATCATATATTTTCTTCCTAAATAAAGTTTTTAGATTTTGCACTGGTAGTTATATGTTCATCTACTCATCCCTCAATTCTAATCAGAGAGTAGTGAGTGAATCCAGCCATACAAGATCTGGTGAATTATGTGAATAAAATGCTCCGCTGGGCGCAACTTGATATGACCGCAGAGGTCGAACCCTGAACAGTTGGGGCAAGTATGGACACAACATTCAAGCTTGATACAGCACTGAATTTGGATTGTGATTAAATATTTGACACAGCATAGGTTTCTGACACAGAATGAATGTGGTCTAAGAACTTAAATTTTTTTAATTTACCTATTCAAACCATATCATTATTATTTACTTTTATATATAAATCAGAACTAACCAATTTTAAATGGAAAATTTTAAAGAAAAAAAAAGGAAAAAAAGGAAAAAAAAATCCCTCCCCCAAATTTTTTGAACCCCCTTATGATTCATCACCTCCAAACTCAATCCCAGCCTTCCCTTCGTGGTATGGTACCTTTCAGTACAATTTCAGAGAGATCCATACACTTGTACACAAGTTAATGTCTGGAAACTAGAAAAATGCTTGTTTTTAGGCCCCTTTTTGGCCCCAAATTCCTAAACGTTTAGGGCAATTACCCCCAAACTCAAACCCAGCTTTCCCTTTGTGATATGGAACCTTGTAGAACAATTTCATAAAGATCCATACACTTACACACAAGTTATTGTCCTGAAACTAGAAAATTGCTTGTTTTTTGCCCTTTTTTGGCCTTTAGATCCTAAGATTTTGAGGAAATTACCCCCCAAATCAATCCCAGCCTTCCCTTTGTGGTATGGTACCTTGCAGTACAATTTCAGAGAGATCCATACACTTGAACACAAGTTATTGTCTGGAAACTAGAAAAATGCTTATTTTTGGCCCCTTTTTGGCGCCTTATTCCTAAGTGCTTTGGGCAATTACCCCCAAACTCAATTCCAGTTTTCCCTTTGTGATAGGGAACCTTGTAGTACAATTTCAGAAAGATCCATACACTTACACACAAGTTATTGTCATGAAACTAGAAAAATGCTTGTTTTTTGCCCCTTTTTTGGCCCCTAATTCCTAAAATTTTGAGGCAATTACCCCCAAAATCAATCCCAGCATTCCCTTTGTGATATGGAACCTTGTGGTACAATGTCAGAGAGATCCATACACTTAAACACAAGTTATTGTCTGGAAACTAGAAAAATGCTTGTTTTTAGGCCCCTTTTTGGCCCCAAATTCCTAAACATTTCAGGCAATTACCCCCAAACTCAAACCCAGCTTTCCCTTTGTAATATGGAACCTTGTAGTACAATTTCAGAAAGATCCATACACTTACACACAAGTTATTGTCCTGAAACTAGAAAAATGCTGGTTTTTTGCCCCTTTTTGGCCCCTAATTCCTAAAATTTTGAGGCAATTACCCCCAAAATCAATCCCAGCCTTCCCTTTGTGGTATGGTACCTTGCAGTACAATTTCAGAGAGATCCATACACTTGAACACAAGTTATTGTCTGGAAACTAGAAAAATGCTTATTTTTGGCCCCTTTTTGGCCCCTTATTCCTAAACGCTTTGGGCAATTACCCCCAAACTCAATTCCAGCTTTCCCTTTGTGATAGGGAACCTTGTAGTACAATTTCAGAAAGATCCATACACTTACACACAAGTAATGGTCATGAAACTAGAAAAATGCTTGTTTTTGTACCCTTTTTTGGCCCCTAATTCCTAAAATTTTGAGGCAATTATCCCCAAAATCAATCCCAGCATTCCCTTTGTGATATGGAACCTTGTGGTACAATGTCAGAGAGATCCATACACTTGAACACAAGTTATTGTCTGGAAACTAGAAAAATGCTTGTTTTTAGGCCCCTTTTTGGCCCCAAATTCCTAAACAATTAGGACAATTACCCCCAAACTCAACCCCAGCTTTCCCTTTGTAATATGGAACCTTGTAGTACAATTTCAGAAAGATCCATACACTTGAACACAAGTTATTGTCCTGAAATTAGAGAAATGCTGGTTTTTTGCCCCTTTTTGGCCCCTAATTCCTAAAATTTTGAGGCAATTACCCCCAAAATCAATCCCAGCCTTCCCTTTGTGGCATGGTACCTTGCAGTACAATTTCAGAGAGATCCATACACTTGAACACAAGTTATTGTCTGGAAACTAGAAAAATGCTTATTTTTGGCCCCTTTTTCCTAAACGCTTTGGGCAATTACCCCCAAACTCAATTCCAGCTTTCCCTTTGTGATAGGGAACCTTGTAGTACAATTTCAGAAAGATCCATACACTTACACACAAGTTATTGTCATGAAACTAGAAAAATGCTTGTTTTTTTACACTTTTTTGGCCCCTAATTCCCTAAATTTTGAGGCAATTACTCCAAAAATCAATCCCAGCATTCCCTTTGTGGTATGGAACCCTGTGGTACAATGTCAGAGAGATCCATACACTAACACACAAGTTATGTCTGGAAGTTACAAAAATGCTTATTTTTGGCCCCTTTTTAGCCCCTAATTCCTTAACTGTTGGTACCATAACTCCCAAAATCAATCCCAACCTTCCTTTTGTGGTATTGAACCTTATGGTAAAATTTCATAGAGATCCATTCACTTAAAATAAAGTTAGAGTGCGAAAACTAATGTGTCTTCGGACGACGATGACGCCAACGTCATACCAATATACGACCGCAAATTTTTTTTGCGGTCGTATAAATATTTATGAGTAGTCAGTTTCATTACATTTAAATATTTTTTTACTATAAGGCCAATTAAAATTAATTGATAGATTTTCATCCCCGCCCATCCCTCTGAAATCATCCCGCCCCAATTTTTTTTATTTTTCAAAAAATTTGCAATTTCCAGATTTTGTTCATTTCCGTTACCGGTAAACGCAGATAATTTCGTTTCAATAAAAAATTCCTGAATTGCAAATTTCGGGTTTCGTATTTGTTTGAGTAACCAAAATGATTAAGTCGACATATTCTGCTGCTCTATGATGGCAACATTATCTTCCGACAATAAGAGATTGAATACGAGATGGGCATGAAATATTCGGGTTACGAGTAATAGGCGGTGTCCAAGAACGCAAATCGCGATATGTCACAAATTTCTGTGATTAGAAAACCGTGGATTTTTTTATTTATACAATGACTTTGTGTCAGGAAATTTTGACTGTGAAGGATATCAAAGCGCAAGAATCGTAGAACACAGGAGTACAAAAAACATGTTTGGAATAAAGAAATTGACACAAGCATGAATTTGTGCAATTTATGACTGTATATTGATTACAAAAAGTCGTCAACGTACAAAATATATTATCTGTAGCAAACCCTTAGATTTACCCCTAGGCTGTCTTTTTTTGTTGACAAACAGGAAACACCCTCTGTCCCAAGCCCCTTAATAGAGTCAATAAACAACTTCTTCTTTTTGGTTAAGTTCATGTTCTACATTGTAATTATATTTGCACCTTGCATAAGAATCTTAAAAGCATCAACCCTAGTATGAGGGTAGGAATGCCCTTTACCTTCAGGCGTCAAACGGTCATTTTCAGCTACCGTAAGCGTCAAATTGGTTAAAATTTGACCGTCATTCGTCAAAATATCCTTATCGTGATTCGTCAGAGGTCTCAAATAATTATCGTTACCGTTATTTTTGGGAAAAAAATCATGTGATTCGTCAAAATCAATAGATTCTTTTTATTGTCTAAAAGAAAGTGTACATTTTATCGTCATGAACCAAAAATTACCGTTGACATTTGGCAAGAATTTTTACCGTTATATATTCGTCATGAAGGTACCCCCATTACGACCCTTTAGTATTTTCAACACAGTTTGAGTTTTTGTTTCACTCTGAACTCATAATACTTGTGTTGCATACCAATGCATATGCTTCATTTTATGGGCACTACATGCACAAACCATAGCCGAGTGAATAAAATAAATTTGGTGTCGGCTATGTAGTCTAAAAGAGCGCATTTCTCAGGCCACGTTTTTGCTATTTACTAAAAATAGGTTTCTGAAGCGGCAATAACATGTAGAAATCAGAAATATTTATTTAAGAATTTGAAAAATTATATAGGATTCCTTATATATATATTATACATGATAGAAGCTTATTAATATCCCTTGCATATGAAGAACATGTCACAAAAGGGTTTCGTAGGAATTAAAATTTAAAAAATAAAATCCTCCCACCCGCCCCATTTTTAAAAAAAAATCTGGATTAAAATCTACTAATTTATTTTAGTTGGCCTAAACAATAGTTTTATATTCCATATATAGAAAAGTCAATTTGAATTCTTTGGTTTGATGTTAACAGTTTGACTATTCCTATCTTGACAGAATAGCACTGAATTTGATAAATATTTAGAATTATCTATCAATATCATTGTGAAAACTATTCTGTAGGAAAAGCATGGCCCTCTTACGATAAAGACCACTGAAGATTTGAGACTTTCTTTGAAGACAATTGCTCTATATCATCATTTAAACATATAACAACCCTTGTCATTCATAAATATGAGTACAAGTGTGCCAAAAAAGTTCATTTTCATAATCATTAATTATTATCATGATTATTACTTTTAGCATTTTCTGCTGAAATCTGATAAAATTGTCATGTCATATTTCATTAATTATGTTTTGCCACCTGATATCATTTTTTTAAACCTCAATACTGGTACAATACTTGAACTAAACTTTTATTCCAGTATTGCGATTGAGAAAGAACAGGAGACCCCTGCCACCTTCAACAGCATGCCTGAGTCTTGCTTTTTTAACTTTGTTGAGGATGATAAATTAATATAATATATAATAATTTTGCTTGAATAACATTAGTAATGGATCAGTCAAATTATTGAGATGCTACATGAATATGCAACAGCATTTTCATGCTTTATGATGTTATGCAGATTTATACCTTATGTTAGCCTATTAGAATTTCTATTTATTCATTAAAAGTCATTGTGACTCTTAATGATCATGCTGCATAATGGTGCTGGGATAACTTCAGAAATATTTATTTTCTGATGATTTTCAGTGATTTAGATTCACCTGAAAAGATCAACAGGCCGAATGACATGCACAAAATAACAGTTTGAATCTATGTATATTTTGAGGACAAACTATTATCTATTAATTTTATAATCTAACAAAATGTTAAGATTCTGTATTACTAGAAATCATGCTTGAAAATGAGCCCCTTCTTCTCACTGTCAATATTGTCAAGTCAACTAGATGTGCGCATGAATTGACAAGAATATTACTTCCGGGTAAAAATCGGGGGACTGTTTCAAAACGTGCTCGGAAAAAGTGGGTCTATGTCAAATCTGTATTATTAAAATTAATCATAATTAAATCAATGATAAGATAGAAAATGTCTAAGTTTTCAAATCTACGTATCAACGTTCAGCAATAGTCCAGCCCTGGCCTCAGTATCTATTTTCAAAGTGATTTTAGGTGGAAAGAATACCACAAAACGTCGAAATAAGCGTAACGTCATCGCGTTGTAAGCTGCAAAACGCCAGTTTTCGGCGGTTTTTTAATACCAACTTGGTAACAGATTGGATAATATTATCAAGTAGGTTATATGAGATGAGATATATCTCATATAACCTCCTTGATATATTATGCATATATTGTCTTTGACAATTTATAATTTTGCTATAAATGCATTAAAAACGAAGTTGGTGACCAAATGATTTTTTTTGTGTCATTTACTCAAACTTATCAACAACATATAATTTTTAAAGAAAAATCTGTGGTTTTGAAATTGGAGATCTGGTAATTTTTAGATAAATATAAAAACGTTTTTTCGGCGATTTTCAAGTATGCGTTTTCAAGTCTGGCTGAGGAAATAGACAACTACATGGCAAAACAAAACATCGAAAACATCTACAGCAGTCTGCAAAACATTAAACAGAAAACTGAACAACACGAACCCTCCAAAAAATGGGTGCTCTAAGGTTTTCCGGGAGGGCCGGTAAGCAGATCCAGCCGTCTCTCGATCGAGGCACTGTCATGTTGTTCAATATATTATGACCCAGGTCAGGAGGAAAAAATCAGTGATTATTTTGCAAATACAGACTATTTTTCTTATCAATTCAAGATTTTAAAAACTTTACATCTTGGGGGGATAAATTAACACAACTTTGAAAGAAAGGAAGCATATTACTACTGTTTTGAATCCCAAAGACCATACTAGGGCTGTCAGTATCTAACATCCACTTTTTCTATTTCGTTATAGTACGGTATTCTCATTTTTGTCTTTTTTCTTTTCTAAAAGCATTTTGTAAGTGTTATCTTTTCAAATCTTATTTCAAAATTTTGTCATTGAGTTCTCAGTTCTATTTGCATAATCAATATGCTTGTCCCAGAATAATCCTTACAAATGTGTTATCTTTCATAAAAGATTGACTATAACTAACTCGGACTACTAGAAGAATATAAGTATGATGATAGATGTTATTTTCTTTATTGGAAATTAATTATCAGTACTTTGTTTAAAATTAATTATGAGTTAAAATAATCAAATATTTTATTTTTTACAAGCATATATATATCTTTATTCTCATCACCAAATACATAGGTACAGAGAAGACATGCATGTAATACAATACATTAAATACATAAACATCAATATACAATATATACAACAACAACAAAGACAAAAAGAAATTATTCAGGAGGACACACTCGCTTGTTTAAAATTCGTATAAACTTACATAAATTTATGAGATCTGTCCTATTTGTAGACGACATAATTTCAGTAAATAATATAATATTTGGCCTTATACTAAAATTTCGATTTATAAATTTATTTCTCTCTTCTCTAAAATGTGAACAATTAATAATGTAATGGAATTCATCTCCAATATCTAGCTTACATAAATTACACTTTCTTTTTTCCCTTTCTATATTGTACCATCTTCCAAGTTCGACTGGAAGTTTATGGTTACATATTCTAAATTTACATAATGTTAAAAAATCTTTTTCGTCTAAAATATTAAAATATTCTTCAAAACACAATAAATTCTTAAAAATACGATAATTCAAGGCTTTGGAACAGTTTTGAATAGTCTCGTTCCATGTTTGTTTGAATTGATCACACAATCTTACTTTGATATTATATTTCAACCATACATCATTTAAAAAGAGCTGTGTGTTCCAGATATAAGAAAATCCACATTCATCAAATATATTTTTAACACATATTAACCATCTAAAATCTATGTTTTTAGTACAATACAAGTGGTACAGTAGCTTATAAATAATACAAGAATACTTTGACTGCTTTCCCATAATTAATTTAGACCAGTAGGATATCATCCTTAATTTTACATCAATAGCAAGTGGAAAACGTCCTAGCAAGAAATATAAATTACGTTAACAAGATATAAAAATAAAAGTTAGACTAAATTCAGTTAATAATGAAAAGCTACCACTTATTTGTCTTTTCTTTTATATCATTTTATGTCCTTTTCAAATTTATTTATCATATGCATGACTTATTTGATTGAACTGGAAATATGACATCATACTGTCACGTGTATTGTTGCCACCTTTTTCATCACCTTAATTTAAATTAACTAAGTATATGTAAGAGAATGATAATCCCTTTCTTCATGATTAAGTACGAGCGTTAGCGAGTACTTATCATGATGAAAGGGATTATCATTCTCTTACAAACTTAGAATATTGTACAGTGCTCAAGGCTCAAATGATCTCTTGATTGGTTTTATTCAAGAATTAGTTTCATTGTCCGTGAAATGTTTATAATTAATGGATGACTTCCCTTTTAGGCATTTCATTTATGTATTGGTCTTAGTGATGTAAGGACTTACTTTTAATTTGGGAAATTTTGATAAATTGTGTTTTAGACATTAGATGACACAACGTTACAATGAAACTGTAGAAATTGTATAAGTTTCCTAATTGTGAGTATGAGTGTAAATTATGTAATATTTTAGTAAGGAATTATCTTTTTGTTTATCTACAGTTCAATTAGATAAATTCAAAATCAGAGTTACAACTAAATTGTATTCCAAAGCCAATTTTATTCCAGCTCTTACTACTATAGGGGGTTCTTGGACCCCCCAAAAAAATTTAAGACCCCCAAGTTATATCATCTTACATAATCTCAAATGACATAATATGACATAATATGACATAAAATGATATAATATAGGGGTCATAAAGAGAAGATGGGGGTCATAAATAAATTATATGAATTAAAACCTCATAATATGTAAAACTTAATGTCATAAGATGGGGGTCATAACAAACTTAATTGAATATGACCCCCAAATTATATTATTATATCTTTATAACACCTGAATTACATAAGATGGTGGTCATACATAAATTAAATATATATCTATTAAATACCTTTAAGAAACCACACACCATGAACTGAAAAAAACTTATAATTATCAATCAACATTATAAACATTTATCATACAAAGTTTCCATACATTATCTGATGGGCTTCGAAAGAAAAATGTGAACCTATGGATGTGGGTGTTTTTTGTTACAATATCTAAACTGACAATTGTATAAAATATCACCAACTAGCATAACAGAATGATTAACCTCTCAACAAAACAAATGAAAAATACAATAGTATCAACAACAACAAAAAATAAAAAGGATATGTAATGAAATTAATATATACTTTATTCTCATTAAACACATGTTATTAATTTAAAAAAAAAGATCCAATTAAAATATCCTAGTTTATTCTGTATAATATTATAGTACACATGATATAAAGATGAGACAAATCACCATTCAAGTCACAAAATAAAATTTATACACTTTAAAGTTTAGATAGTTCCTTTATGATCCTAATCCATTTCTTACCCTACGGTAACACAGACGTTCAGTATAAGCGAGAATTTTTACAACTTTATTAAGCAAAACACTAAACTATATGGTATTTGTTAAACATTTAAGAACCATTCCTTTTCTTATACCATGACCAAAATTATATATATTTTTTCAAGTTTCATATGTTTTTTATGTACATTTTGATTTACCCAAAAAGTTATTTAAGTGTGTTATTTCATTAATCAATTAAAGTTCCCTATGAAACTGAAATTGGCACCTCCATTTATTAATCCTTAAACCCCTGAGTGACATGACCATCCAATAACCCCAAATGATTTTTACTTGTCAAAGTTTAAATCTTCTATCATAAAAGGTTTCATCATTATTACACAATTAATGTATTCTAAATTACTAGACCTTAGAAATCTATTCATTTCTATTACCAAAACAAAAAGTTGACCAATCCCTAGATTACTGGAGCATAACCATCAATATCTATTGACAAAATTTTATTTTAAAAGACTATGTACCTAATTATGATATTGTTAATGTTAACTGTTTTAAACTTATTAAAAGAATAAAAACATGTTTAGCACTCTCCGTACATAGTTCGACTGTTACTTTACCTCTTTTCAATGCAATTTTATAAAACCGATGTTAAACTTCCAGTTTTTATAACAATAGGTTAAACTAATACATTTTATTCATAATAGTATCATACAGAAATCCAAACATAATTTTATACATTGATGATATAATATGACAATAATTTTAGTAGCTTTTTAGTTAGATTTTTTTTTTAGTTTAGATATTGTTAAGTTTAAGAAATGTTATGTTTATAAGCATATTGTTTTGATGTAATGCATGGATTTTTTCTGTCATCTTTTATACTGATTTGAGATATGGTTAAAGTTAAATAAAATCACTTTGTACCAACATATATCATAAAAATGATAACTGTTTTTCCATTTCCTTAATGTTAAACTATCTCATTGTAAAGCAATTTATAATATCAATGTTAAACTTTCCCCTTTTATAGCAATTTATCATTTTAATGTTAAATTTCTTCCTTACAGAAATGTAATCAAAAGCTTATCCTTTGCCTATATTAAAGGACAAATTCTTTGAATTTTTTCCTAATTTGAGAGTAGACTTTTTTCTTTCTTTGTTATAAATAGTATAATTATATTGTTTTGATTTAAAGCAAGGATTTTTTATTTTAAGGTCATCTTTTATACTGACTTGAGTTATTATTAAAGTTAACATATCTCACATTTTACCAACGTATATCATAAAAATGTTCACTGTTTTCAATTTCTTTAATGTTATACTATCTCATTGTAAATCAATTTATAATATCAATGTTAAAAGGGCATTTGCTGTCAAATCCATGTTCACCGAATTGACTCA